CTCTATAATACTCTCACTGATCTGTAGATCAGTGTCTTAGTTTGTTGTGTGCTGCTATAACAATACTACAACTGGGTAATTTAGAAATGGAAATTTATTTCTCAACGTTTTGCAGTTTGGGGATGTTCAAGAGCAAGGCGCCATCATCTGGTCTCTGGTGAAGGCCTTCTTGCCCTGTCCTCACATGTCAGGATGACAAGAAAGGGACCAAACTCCCTCTGTCAAGCCCTTTTATAAGAGCAGCTAATCCCATTCACTCACGAGATGTCCTCATAGCCCAACCACCTCTTAAAGGCATCACCTCTTAATACCCATCATATTAGCCATTAAGTTTCAACATGAATTTTGGAGAAGACACATTCCAACCATAGCATGCCTATCTTTATGCCAGTATCACACTGCCCTGCATATAACAATAATAAAGTATGGTTAAATTTGTAAAAACAAGTATTTGAATTTTATTAAACTATTACATTGGAAAGCAAAGGCATACAGAAATCATAGAAGAGAAAAAAAGACCTGCAAATTAGAGGAGTAAAAATTGTGACTTACTGGTTTTGGGATCGAGGATCCTGCCCAATCTTCATGACTATGGCTGTGGGAAATACTGTTAGAAAAAAAAGAAATCATAGCCTTACTGGCAACAAGTGCCAGAGACCGGAGTTAAGACTTGAAAAGCCACTGCAAATTTAAGTAGGAAATCTTGGGAATGAGAACCAGAGAAGAAATGCGATAGAACTGCCCAAATCCATGTCTCACAGCAAAACTCTGTATGAGTGAAGGAAACTCCATGAAGCCTGAGGAAAAAGCAAGCAAAACCAATAGAAATCTAGTCTTAAAAGACCACTATTCGGCCGGGCACGGTGGCTCACGTCTGTATTCCCATTCCCAGCACTTTGGGAGGCCCAGGCGGGAGAATCATGACGTTAGGAGATGGAGACCATCCTGGCTAACATGGTGAAACCCCGTCTCTACTAAAAATACAAAAAATTAGCCAGGCATGGTGGTGGGCACCTGTAGTCCCAGCTACTCGGGAGGCTGAGGCAGGAGAATGGTGTGAACCTGGGAAGCAGCGCTTGCAGTGAGCCGAGATTGCGCCACTGCATTCCAGCCTGGGCGACAGAGCAGGACTCTGTCTGAAAAAAAAAAAAAAATTATTCAAGATGTATAAATGTAAATTATACCTCTACTTTGATGCTTTACTTAAGGGGATGTATTCCTCCCTGTGCTGTGTGTACTTTGAGTGACAGAAAGCTGAAACTTCAGAAACTTGGTATGTCAGGGAATAGTCCTAAGTTGCCAGAACAGCTGGAAATAAGAGGAGAATCCCTAGAATGGAGGAACCCACGAAGAAGGTGATCTCCATTGCTAACCCACCAGCAAATTACACAGGCATAGGGAAATCAATCTCTAGGGAGCCAAGCTAAAAGAGCATGGAAAACCATGAAAATGAAGCAGAGATATCAATAGCAGCATGCCCCAGGGGAGGCAATATTGGCAGTTTGAATCCAGACAAGTTAACTGTCAAACAGAACAAACAAACATAAAATCAATAATACTCAGGGAAAAAAAAACCCAGGAGAATCCAGAGTCATTACAATATATTACAATGTCCAGCTTTCAATAAAAAATTAACAGGCATGTAAAGAATAGGAAAAAAAGACAGGAGAAAAGGCAGTCATAGCAAGGGACTCGAGTATATCCAGATATTTGATTTAGCAAAGACTTCTAAGCATTGCTCTTATTTTGACACAGTAATTATATTGATTGATGTTTACATGTTAAGTCTATGTTGCATTGTACTTCCATGGCAATCATTCTGAGAAGATAAAAGCCATGGGATCAGTGTTCTTTCTTCTGTTATTTGGCACTTAAATTCAGTAATTTTGCACTAAAATATAAACCCCATAGATGTAGGGACTGTTATGTATTGCTTTGTTATCCCTAATGACTGAAACAGTGTCTGACATAGATTGGGTGCTCAATGAATAGTTATTGAATGAATGAATGAATGACTAAAATATAAACTAAAATTACTGGTTGGCTCCATGAAGAAAGACTTTCAGATAGTCTCCATCCATGGTGAGGCAATCAAGGGTTGATCATGTGACCAGTTATTAATCTTATTTTGTGTCCATATTTAAGATTTTTAAATAGATGTTTAATAGAAGTAAATAGCAAAATAAATTCATCATCACTAGCTAAATATTGACATATCTGTCATTGCCATTGAACATAGCTATTCATCACCAGGTAAACATTACACATTTTAAACTGTGAGGTACAAAAGGGGTACAATTAAGTAATCTGTGAATTTAAAACATATCCAGGGTAGAATTTCATTGAAAACATAATAGGTGAATATATACTTTAAATTTTAAAAAATGAATATCTGGTCTTTCAGTTTAATCCTCTACTGGTTTATTGACTGTTAAACAAAGTTGCCAATTTGTAACTTCAAAGGAAAACAAAGTGACCACAATTATGTACTGATAAGTAGATCTCTAGGAAAGAAATCAGAGATCCCCTAAGCAAAGCATCCATTGACCCTTTGGAAATTCTCTTTAAAACAGCATAAAGCATGTTATTAGCCTTTTGGTCACCAGGGGGCAGTGTTGTTTCAGACCAACACAATTCACACTATAGCTGTAGTAACTGTTCAGAAAGTACCAACCAGAATCCAACTGCCAGCTTCACACTGTTACTCCACAAACCCTCACAGTAACTTGTTTACAAGGTGAATAGCTAAAGGCAGACAATATAGGATGAAGCAAAATGCTGAAAGAAGAGAAATGTTACCCAAATTATCTGAAATGCAACACATTTTGTTCATTGGTGTAGAGGTTAGTAAGAGACTAACAATTCTTTACTAATACATACCCTGTTACTTACCATGCTTATCAAGTCCAATTGGCTACAGCAAGCACTTCAGAGGGAGAAGTAAAAGTTTCAAAGAAGTCAAATATTTGTAAATGAAAATAAGAGTAGTTTTTGATGTAACTGGAACAAGATAAGCTTTGCTTCGTTTGCTGTGCGAATGGTGAAATGGTCTTAAATTTTAAATATTGAATTACACTAGAATTTTACTAACTGCAGAAGGTATAAATTTGATAGCCACTTTCATCCAAATGCTTTGGATAAAGCTTTGTCTAAGAATAACCTCAAATATTATTTTATTTTCAAATATTAGGCTAGAAAAATACTATCTCAAATACAGGTTTGAGATTAATTCAGAATAATAAGACAAAAGTTTGGAGAAGATTTTAGAATTTAATCATTTCACCCTTCCTGGCTGTTGTTCCCATTGTAAATGTGACATTTTAGTCAATAAAATGCAAAAGTGCAAAACATTTTTAAATAACAGCAAAACACAAAATGAAATTCATGTTGTGATTAATGCATGTTATTAGAATGGAATTTAAATTGCATTCTTGCTTTGCCTTCTTTAAAAAACATATAATGTTATAGTGATATGTTTTCAAACTCTCATACAGAATCAAGACCATCGAGAAAGCATGCAGAGGGACATATCCCATTCTTACCTCTTAACAGCAATTTAAAAGTTAAGAACACCCATACAGAACATCAGCTAAGCTAGGAAAGGCAAACCTGATTGGGCTTGTTCTGAAAGTCGATCTGTGTCAATCAGAATAATGGTCTTTATAGTGCTATACGATTAAGTCTAATTTCTTAAATATGAGGAAAAATGAACTTTGCAATTATTTTTAAAAATCTTTTCATTTCTTAGCCAGTGTGAAAAGGCAAAAAACAAAACAAAAAACACAAGACTTTCCCAAGATTAGGGGGAAATGACCTCACTGTTAATATTCATCTGCTGAGAGCAGTTATGGGACCCATGTCAGGAGTACATGCTTCAAATAAGATGGGACTTGAGAATTGCTGAGAGACTTCAGGAACATTCTTTAACTTCATGGGGCCTCAGTTACCCCACCTTTAAGGGGAATAGTAATAGCAATAGTACCTTGGAGGATTTCTGTGATAAAATGAGAAATGTTTGTGAGAAATACACAAAATATTGGCTTACTGAAAGATGTTACGAGGCAAGCAAGTATGCCTATTTTAATTCAATGTTTATTATTTCAAAGGCAAAGTTTCCATGTAGATTAAGGCCTTCCTAACATCTAAATACCTTTTCTAGTTCTTATTGTATGAAGATAAGAAGGATGGTTGGAGGCTTTGTGAGGAATACCTTTCTCCTCTGCTCCCCTCTCACTCCCATAGGCTGGTAGCAGCTGATTTCACTACCTCAGATACGCAAATTGATGCCACCTTCCTGTAGCCACTTTTGCCATAGCTGACTTATTTGTTGGGTGGTGGGGAGGGGAGCGGGCAGGATTAGGCGAGGGGTAGTAGTTGGGATTTATTGGTCTCGGAATTCAACCATCCGATGTATTTGTTTTCCTGTGTCTACTCCCTTAAGTCTGCAGGCACTGTCTAGTAATTTTATAGTTTTCAGCGGCACCCCAGGGGACAGGACACCTTGGCCTTTTTATAATCACTCTAGAGTCTCAAAGCAGAAAGGAAAAAAGTTAACGATCAGCTATGCAAAGGCTTGTGGGGATTGCTTAAAGACAGCCGATTTTCACTTTACCGGAGTTACTAAAGGACTTCAGGAGAAGGATCCCGTCCCTGCAGGAGCGTTTGTGGTTGAAGAAGCAGGCGAGCGAGCGCTCAGGTGCGCCTCGGCAGCTTGACTGGGGTCCGCAAGCCCGGTGCGACGTATTAGCTGCTTGCCGCCTACTGACACTCTGGCGGAGAACTGGAGGAGGCGCCCAGTGGGCTCTGGGTTCGGCCCGGAGCAGGGCGTTTCAGAGGAGCCGGTCTGGGGTTTCCCAACTCAGGCGATCAGGATAGGCAACAGCCAAGAGAGGCGCTCAGTTGCTTTGCACCCTCCTCCCACCTCGGTTCTGTCCACACCCACGGGCGCCCCGCCCCCTTGGCCTTATAGAGGGGACTCGGCACCTCGGCGCGCCTCGGAGCCAGAGGTTTCCCGGAGAGGAAGGCGCGGCTGCCTCCGGGGCCAGTGAGCCCTGGCGCCGCCGCCGCCGCGGTCCCAGTAGCGGCATAGGGCGGCGGCTGCGCCCCGCACCATGGAGGGCAGCCCAGCCACAGCCGCGGTAGCCGCCGACCTCCGCCGCCGCCCGCGCCGCGTCTGCCCCCTCCCGCTGCGGCTCTCTGGACGCTATCCCCTCCTCACCTCGAAGCCAACATGAAGGAGACCCGGGGCTACGGAGGGGGTGCCCCCTTCTGCACCCGCCTCAATCACTCCTACACAGGCATGTGGGCGCCCGAGCGTTCCGCCGAGGCGCGGGGCAACCTCACGCGCCCTCCAGGATCCGGCGAGGATTGCGGATCGGTGTCCGTAGCCTTCCCGATCACCATGCTGCTCACCGGTTTCGTGGGCAACGCACTGGCCATGCTGCTAGTGTCGCGCAGCTACCGGCGCCGGGAGAGCAAGCGCAAGAAGTCGTTCCTGCTGTGCATCGGCTGGCTGGCGCTCACCGACCTGGTCGGGCAGCTTCTCACCACCCCGGTGGTCATCGTCGTGTACCTGTCCAAGCAGCGTTGGGAGCAGCTCGACCCGTCGGGGCGGCTCTGCACCTTCTTCGGACTGACCATGACTGTTTTCGGGCTCTCCTCGCTGTTCATCGCCAGCGCCATGGCCGTCGAGCGGGCACTGGCCATCAGGGCGCCGCACTGGTACGCGAGCCACATGAAGACGCGTGCCACCCGCGCTGTGCTGCTCGGCGTGTGGCTGGCCGTGCTCGCCTTCGCCCTGCTGCCGGTGCTGGGCGTGGGCCAGTACACCGTCCAGTGGCCCGGGACGTGGTGCTTCATCAGCACCGGGCGAGGGGGCAACGGGACTAGCTCTTCGCATAACTGGGGCAACCTTTTCTTCGCCTCTGCCTTTGCCTTCCTGGGGCTCTTGGCGCTGACAGTCACCTTTGCCTGCAACCTGGCCACCATTAAGGCCCTGGTGTCCCGCTGCCGGGCCAAGGCCACGGCATCTCAGTCCAGTGCCCAGTGGGGCCGCATCACGACCGAGACGGCCATTCAGCTCATGGGGATCATGTGCGTGCTATCAGTCTGCTGGTCTCCGCTACTGGTAGGTAGTTCCAGGGTTGGGGAAAGTCAGGATGCGTGTGCGAGTAAGCGGGAACATAAGGCTTTTCTAAGTGCTAAGTGGCAGCACCTGCAGGGGTGTGTTTGCAATCGCAGAGCGCTGGAGTATCCTCTCCTCCTATCCGCGCCGTCTTGGTTACAGCTTCAGAGTTGAGCTCCTCACTTAGCTGAGCGCCTTCGAAGAGCCAGGATTCGCATTACGCGCTGGTTATGAGCACATAGAGATCACAGGGCTGTTCACATTCTAGTCGGGGAGGAGATAGGATATGTCACATATGCAGAGATAGAGGTTTGTCCTGGGTGCATTAAGAGCAGAATGGCTATGATAACTGCAGCCTGATACTGTGAGGGTTTTCTTTATTTCAAATACCTCTCTCACGTTAATGAGATTTTCAGTCTGCAACCCCAGACAGTCACAGCCCTCCTGCGACGTATGAGCAGCCTTCAAGATTTATTTTTGATGATGTAGGAGAACGAAAGATGCGAGTTTCCTCCTCAGCCCTTCGGCATGGTGTTTGGCTCTCTAGGAGTGCCTGAACGATAGTCAGTGGGATCCGGAAACCCAGCAGGCCAGCATTTACTTACCCTTGTAGCAATCAAGCAGGGTTTGCTAATCCTGAGAGAGGAGGTAGAGGTTTCCCATGTCCTAGCTCCTCACACCAGAGCAATGCAAAGGAGCAAGGGATGTTTGCAAAGGCTCTTTGTCCAACACTTGACCTTACATGATATTTCTGAGGTTTTTTGTCTGTGTTACTTTTAGCTAGAAATGTCCATGTGTAAGTGCTGTTTACTTATTCTTGAAGAATGGATGCTTACTTAGGCCCTGGGGAGTCTGGGCTAATAGATGTTGCAGAAAGAGCCATTTGCTCACTGTCACAAAGGTATAACCAACTATATGTATTACACAATTGTGAAAAACCTTTGAAACATGTGAATACAGTTTTTTTTTTTCCTAGTTGTGGTAAAATATATTACATACAATTCAGTATTTTAACCATTATTGTGTGTACAGTTCAGTGGCATTAGGCATTAAGTACATTGACTTTTTTGTGTGCCATATATGCTTTTAAATCCCTTGCATTTGAAAATAGAAATGTAATTTCTTTCACCTGGTTTGGTAGATTGGAGCACAAACCTTGGCTCCAAATCAGTGACATGAGGGGACAAGGAGAGTTATGTTGAGACCTAACTGCCTACAAGTCGCTGTATGGTCATAGTTCTTTATTCCAGGAGTTGGAACTCAGGCTGGTGTCATCACTATGGCTTATCAAAACCAGCACCAGTTTTAGATATACAGTATTTACTTTTATGACTCAGGAATGGGGTGTACAGGAGGCCAACTAGGGAGGAAGAAAGAGTTCTAAATAGTAAACACTTTACTAAAGTGTGGTAATTAATATAACTTTAAAGACAAAAGGGTATCTGAATTTTTCACAAGTGTCATTTGAGCCCCACATCGTTGAGTTTGCTGTATCACATGATTTATATCCTAGGGGAAAAAATGCAGTTAAATCAATTGAACAAAATACCCACACAGTTAATCAGACTTATAATTTACTGTTTGTGTATTCTGTTTTTAAGTCAAAGAGAAACCATGTAGTGTGTTTTTGATGTAGACACTTTAATTCTAGTACCATGAGTATGGTGGCCTCAGAAAGAAAGTAGGTCAATCTTGAAAACTGTAATTTAGGATGGCCAAACTCACTCTTTCAAGAAAGACTGTATTTGAAACTAGTCTTACTTAATTTCAATTTATTTTCATTCGGATAATACTAATTGATTTATAGCATTTTACTGCACACTTTATTAATTCAATTATACAAACATTAAACAAAATAAATTCAACATGTGATCATATCAAAAAGGAGATTTTTTTTTTTTTTTTTTTTTTTTTTGGACACAGAGTCTCGCTCTGTCACCCAGACTGGAGTGCAGTGGTGACATCTCAGCTCTCTGCAGCCTCCACCTCCCAGGTGCAAATGATTCTCCTGCCTTAGCCTCTGGAGTCACTGGGATTACAGGTGCCCACCACCACAACCGGCTAATTTTTATATTTTTAGTAGAGATGGGGTTTCACCATGTTGGCCAGGCTGGTCTCGAACTCCTGACCTGAGGTGATCCACCCGCCTCAGCCACCCAAAGTGCTGGGATTACAGGCATGAGCCACTGTGCCCAGCCTAGGAGAAATTGGAACTTTTAAAAGAAAATGGTTCCATCAGCTGGGTGCGGTGGCTCATGCCTGTAATCCCAGCACTTTGGGAGGCCGAGGTGGGTGGATGATTTGAGGTCAGCAGTTTGAGACCATCCTGGCCAACATGGCCAAACCCCGCCTCTACTAAAAACGCAAAAATTAGCGGGGCATAGTGGCATGCGCCTGTAATCCCAGTTACTCAGGAGGCTGAGGCAGGAGAATTACTTAAGCTGGGGAGACAGAGGTTGCCGTGAGCCGAGATCGAGCCACTGCATTCCAGCACGGGTGACAGAGCAAGACTCCATCTCAAAAAAAAAAAAAAAAAAAAATCCAAATATCTTCAAAAAGATTTACTGTACAAAGTTGGAATTATTTCAGAGAAAAGAAACTGACAAAGCTGCTTTCTTAATAGAGAATTGTAAGAAGGAAAACACTAGAATTTAGTGATTGAATTTTCAGCATATTAGTGTTTAAATGAGATTAACACTGTTTTTTCTAACTATGGGTATAATATAGATTTCCTGTTAGCATATGTTAAGTTGGGTATAGGATACTGTTCTAATTGTCCAAACTTCTTACTTGAAAGGACGCTGATTATATCGTGGGTCATGACTATAACAAATATTCAGTTGTTACCGCAGGAAAACTTGGTAGGACAGAAATACCATAATAAGAAAATGTCACAACTGCTACAAGTTCCCGCTACATAAATACTTAAATAGAGGCTTATGTATCCTTAAATAAAAGCTTTGTTTCCTTTTTCTTTTTCTCAGAAACTTTGCAAAATACAATATAAAATGTGAAATTAAGAGAGTGCAGTGGAAAACGATGTCACCATGATAGATGATCTACAGTTTTTAGTTACTGGTTATTGAAGACATCACATTGTCATTCTATTGCAATCAGCCAGTTGATTCAGCAATGCAATCTATTTGACTTTTATCATTATTGTTTTATATTTTATGAATGATGCTCACCATAGCTCAGTTGTTTGACATGATAGCTAAATTTCCAGAAATGGGAATAACCTTAGGATTTTGTTCAAAGGAAGTTGTGAGTACACTTTGTACTTTTATAACTTGGCACTCCCAAACAGGTAGAATGTGGCTAATACTGTAAGCTATCTCAAAAACAGTAAATATAAAGCCAGCTATGAACATTGTGAAAAGTGAGGTATGAGCAACAGTTTCTCATCATCAATCTTGGAACTGGATAAAAGCAGCCTTAGAAACTTTTGCCTTTAATCTTGAACCGGTGAATTCCCTGCTCAGTATCCACAAATACAAACAGAGATTTTCAGTTCAAGAAGATGTTTCACAATGTAGTTGTGATTTTTTTTTGTTTTAGTTAAGAATCACTGATATATTTTGACAAGTGAAATTTGCCTTTAATATGCCACATGTGGTAGATATGTATGGTGAATTATTTTCGGAAATAATGTTGTTTTGTAGCACATAAAAGTATTATTCAATTGCTAATCTCTTCTGCCACTAACTTTCTGCCATATTCAGGATGTTGTTTCAGAGAAAGTGATTAAACCTATGAATCCACATTATAGGAAAAATATTCTACAGTTTTTCTCTTTTGAAAAAGGTGTGAAGGTCAACAAAATATTCTATGATTGTAAAACTGATTATATTATAATCTGTTTAGAAAAGCAGAATTTACACATTTGTGAGTGAAATATTTAAAGAACCCTAATCCAAGACAAGATGTAATTAATGCCTTTGGCTCTCAGAAAAAAAGTCAGTCTGAATTTGCCAGAGGAGATTTCCAGGAAGAGGTGAATTGGCATAACCTTCATGACTTCATGACTGAGACCAAGTGTGTCCGCAAACCCAGCCCAATGAGAACAAAGGGTGCACACTAGATCAATGGGAATTACGTTTTTAAAATGTTCAAGAAAACAAATTTAGGTGGTTAGTCCCTGAATGACAAGACGAGGACTTCACTCTTTTGAGTTTATCAGAAAGCGCCAAGAATTAAACACTTCTTAAGCCATCACCTGTGAAGAAATTCACATGGTCTGAAGTTGTAATATAATTGTGAGTCACTGACCCTTCTCTTTTGAACAAGCTGTGAAGGTCAGCAACTAAAATATAAAAGTTTCCACAGGTTCAGTTTTCTGGGACTAACGCTCAGGAATATGTTACAGGCATCTGTAACAGACTATGATTCATCTGAGGGTGCAGAGGGGTGGTAGGTGAGGGATACTGGGTGCTAAGTTTCAGTTTTTAGTTCTGCCCTTGCATTGCAGTAAAGAAATGCAGGGAAGTCCCCCCTAAAACTCTTTACATCTGTGTAACACTTTTGCAACCTGCCAGTGTTCCACATTTATCTCATTCATGCCTCTCAATGCTAAGATCTACAACTGTAACATGTCAAATCCTTACTCTCCCATTTTTTCCAATTGCTTTACAAAAAGATAGGAAGGAAGTTTGTATTTCAACTCCTGCCAGCTGTGCTTCTTGAGAAGCCATAGACAATCTCTCAAGTCTTCCTTTTCCCTAGAAAATTCCAACTTTCATAAAGATGGTAACCAATGAAGGAGCCTAATTTTGGAGGGGGGTTCCTCTTATATCTTGTCCCCTAAGTTTATGGCAACATTTTACTGTAAACATAGTACAGTCTCTGACCTACGGTTTTTCAACCTCATGATGGTGTGAAAGGAATGCACATTCAGTAGAAACTATACTTGGAATTTGGAATGTCGATCTTTTATCGGGCTAGTGATATGCAGTATGATACTTTTTGGTGATGAATGCACAGCTCCCAGTCAGCCATGCAAACAC